AGCATGAACAGGGGAGGGGCAGAGAGAGAGAGGGAGACACAGAATCGGAAACAGGCTCCAGGCTCCGAGCCATCAGCCCAGAGCCTGACGCGGGGCTCGAACTCACGGACCGCGAGATCGTGACCTGGCTGAAGTCGGACGCTTAACCGACTGCGCCACCCAGGCGCCCCATGACCAGAAATTTTTTTAACCGATAATTTCACCTGGAAAAATAATAAGGCAATGAAAAATTTCTCCAATGTCTATTTTAATACTCTAGTCTTGTAAGTGTGATTGAGGTGGTGATAAATGAGCATCCCACATTATAAACGGCATCGATGCTAGTATGTGGTTGGGTGGCCCTTCAAAACAACTCTGCAATCATTTGATCATTCTTACTGCATTTATCTGCTTAAAAAATGTATACCTTTTAAGGAATAGAAGATGAGGCAGTACTGTGCTCTGCTCTGAAACTGGTACAGATGATGCTGTAAATGAGGCTGTAATTTACTTTCAGTGGTATAAAGGAAAAAAATCACTTTGCCTAAAGTGTATGCATCTTTCTTAAGGGTGTACCCAGATTTTAATTATCTAAATGTAAATACTTAACGAATTTTACTTAGAGTAATGAGCTAAAGTGCACACTACATAAATGAGATGTTCTAATTAATCATGTATGAACTACTGGTTTAAAGAAAAGCTATGTGAATTCTGTGAATGTTGGGCTATTGCCAAATTGCTAATCAGCATTTGCATTCATAGATGAGTTCACTTAATAAGTTGTGAGACATTCAGCAAATGTTTTAGGAAATTATGAGTTTTTAGATGCAGAAACTTTTTGCTTTTAACCCTTTTTTTCCCTCACTTGCTTCCTAGAAACCATAGGCAAACTTTCTTTCTGGAGAGATTAAAATGCAGCCAGAGAATAACGTAAGAGAGCTTGCATCTCAAGGATCATTCACATAGGAGTTTTGAATTATTTATCAAGACGTACACCCTGTCACAGATATATGTTACTATAATGTGCAAGCTAGATTTTTAGGAATTTGCAATGTTCTGTGTGCAAATTACAAACGCTTCCATACTCCAGTGCAGCAGTACTCCAGCCTTTTGGTCTTAAGACCTAGACCTAGACTCTTAGAACTTATTGGAGACCCTCAAGAGCTTTTGTTTGGTGGATTATATCTGTCAACATTTATTATAATAGAAATTAAAACTCAGAAATATTAAAAGGATTCATTCATTAATCTTAAAATAGCAATAATGAATCATTATATGTTAACCTAAATACCATTTTTGTAAAAACCTGTTATTTTCCCCAAAGCCTCAGCATCTATTGAGAAGAATGACATTGTTTTTATATTCTTGCAAACTCTTTAATGTTGGGCTCAATAGAAGTCACCTGGATCTTAAATGTGCTTCTGTAGTCAATCTGTTGTCATTGTGGTTGAAATAATACAAAGAACATCTGGATCTGGCCTCACACAAATATGTCATTGGAAAAGGCAGGAGTGGTAATAGCATTTTCAGATAGTTGTGGATTTTCTTCTTTGATATTACACCAAAACTCGGCAAGCTGTAATTTCTTAAAGGTTAGTTACAGTGCAGTCTGAACCCATATCAATTAACTCTTTGTACTCTGTTCCTTTCAAATCCATTGGTCTAATATGCACTTGGAATGGATCTTCTGCCTATGCATATTTTTGTAACATCATGCATTGATCATTTGGAAAGTATTGGTTCACTGAGTTACGTATATCTTCCAGTGTTGACACATTTCATTATATAATACCAAAATACGTTTATTAGTATCAACATCAAACTAATCAGAAAGTCCACTGAGAAACTGTTAAGCTAACAGTGGTGGATGCAAGTTTTCCAAAATTCTAATTTTCACTTGAAAGCTCAAATTCATTATGACAGACACTACTGTCAGCTCTTTACCTTTACGTGACAAGCGCAGTTTGTTCATTTTTGAGGGCATCTGCCAAATACCCAAGTCTGAATAATCAGAATTTGTTGGTTTTGCTTTAAAAAAAATGGTGTTCCATGAAAAAAGCAGCTTTAGCTCACAACTTCAACAATCACGTAACTGCTTTTTCTCAAGGTAACTGTCTGTTGATATGCAGTAGAGTGCTTTTTGTTTGTTTCCCATTTTGTCACACAGAATATTAACGACCTAGTGAAGGGCTGGGATATAATAAGATGAATAATTTCTCTTGCTTCACCAAGGACATTCATAAATGAAACTTTCTCTTTGCGTGTGTTTGTGTGAATGCAGGGTGGTGAAGGATAAACAAAGAAGCATCAAAGATTACTTAGTATTCGGTTTCCCAAAGAGTTTTTCTTAGCACATTGGTCCCCAAGATGCTATAGAGCTCTGCTGTCCAGTCAGTTACCACTAGCCACGTGTAGATGTCGAGCACTTGAAATCTGGCTAGTATGAGTTGAGATGTGCTATAAGTGTAAAATACATACCGGGTTAGAAAGTGAACCAAAAGAGATGATGTAACATACGTCACTAACTGTGTTTCTTAAATATTGGTTATGTGTTGAAATGTTCATAGTTTTCATATATTGGGTTAAATAAAATATATTTTTAAAATTAATTTCACCTGATTCTTTTTATTTTTTTAATGTGGCTATGAGAGGTTTTTTCAAATTTTATATGTGGCTTGCGATATATTTCTTTTGGACAGCACTCCTCTAGAGAAAAGAGGTTTTATAACCAAATTTATTTGGGAAAAGTTGGCTATACCATTCCCCCTTGAAGATTTATTGTGCATATTGCTGTGTTAGTATTGAGGAGTCTTGCAAAAAAAAAAAAAAAAAAACTTAAAAATTTTTGCTTAACTCTGCATTTTCCAAATATACTATATTTTGGGACCATGTATTAACATTCTCTGGAACTAGCTGTTGAAGTACATACTTTCTGATCCCAGTGTAGGGACATAGTTCTAGTCTAATTTTCTTCATTTTACTGATAACAAAACTGAGGGGTAGAGTTTGTCAAGTTATATCATTTTGAAATTTTATGAACATCTCTTTAGAGAAAGCACAAGAAAAAATAAGTACATATATTTCTTGTCAGGATGACCGCTTGTTTTCAGTTTGGCCTAAGGTAGTTAAAGTAATATAATGGGGGACAGTCTTAAGTCTGTTTTTATTTTGGTGTCCTTAAAGATAGAACTTCTGGTTTTAGAGCTACACAGTTCCTTGACATTTTACTGACTCGTAACCTAGGACAATAGTTCATAGCCTTATTTAGTTATAAACTGGCTAAGAATCTGAAAACAAAACTCCACAGTTGTCCCTTCAGGTATTACACAGGCACACACAACTTGGATAAGATTTCAGGGACTCCTAGACATTCTAAACTTATCCATGGACTCCAAGTTAAGAATCCCTCACATATAGTTCAGGGACAATGTATTTACAGATGTTAATCAACATTACTCTCAAATTGTAATATGGCTGACCAATCAATAGATGTTTATTGGATGCCCACTGTGTACAATGCATAATTCTACACTCCAAAGAATCCCATAAGTGTAACCTAGGGTCACTGCTCACTTAAATTGCTTAAGACCTAAGATATAACCCCCCAAAATCCTTTCATTGATAAGCAAGACTCATTTTACTTCACCTTAGAAATATTTATAGAAAAGCTCCCTAAAAGCTTAGAGTAACTGAAACACCCAGTGAACTTACTTGAAAGGTTAGTTCTCTAATGAGCAGTTAGAAAAACCATCATGTGCTATATGTGAGCCATGTTCAGGGTATCTATAGGGAAGTGGACATTATTACAGCTTCAAACTGTGTCTTGCGGTGATCAATGATTGTTCTGTCTGCTCGCCCTACCAGGGGCATCTGTACAGTAAGATGCAGAATCTCCCGTCATGCCTTTTTAATGAAAATGCCAGAAGATGTTCTTTTTATTCAAGGGTGTAAACTGATGCTTTATTTACCAAAGCAGTACTAGATTTCAGCGTGGGCCCCATTACTTGGTTTTGTAGGTCTAAAAGAATATAGGTGAACTGAAAGAAGGGCTGAGGATTGTTCACTTAGAAGCTCGAGACCCAGCTCTGATCCTTCTTTTCCTGCTGCACGTCCCCTGAAGAGTTGAGCTGCTTTACCCATCTTCCACGGATGGCCCATATCTATGGATAAGCTATGGATAACCATAGCTAAATTTTACTGGGACATTGGCATGCTTGACGTCCAAGGCCCTTTACATGCCAGGATGGATCCGAATCCCCTCTTCTTCTCTACATACTCTCTCTCATCCTCTGAACTTGCTGCATATTATTTCCGTGGTTTTTCTTGTGCCTCGCATTCTTCCCTAGTTTCCATCTTTATCCACTTTTCAAAAATCCTACTTATTCTTTAAAGCCCAAATGTCACTGTGCCATGAAGCCTGATGTGATCTCTGCCTCCACAGGAGGACACTCCTTCCTTGGAACTTAGGAAACACTTATTCATATCTTCCTGTGACACTTTGGAAAGACCGCCTTGTTTGAGAATTTTTTATATATTTATTTTATCATAGTAAAGGCCGGGTCCACATCTTGCTCCTTTCTCTATACCTTAATAGCATCGGGAAGAGTTTGCACTCCATAGTCCTTCTGTAAACATTTGTTGAATAAATGTGGAACCCCAGAGAAAATAAGAGGTGCTTAGTATTGACTATAAACGTATATTCCTACTTATCCATAGGAGTTGGTAGAGCATATCCTCCAGTGGGAAAACCTCATTTTGGAACTGGGAAAAGGGTGAGGGGAAGGACAGTTGAGTGCGATATGCCTCCTTTGCATGTCCAGGCCATTCGTAGTTTCAGAATTCTTTGCTGCCCCATCTAACTACCACTGCCATTTGACAAGTGTCTTAGTTTTCATTTTACCCTACCCACTGCATAACACCACTGGCAATTGCAAATGAGGTGGAAATTTAGATGTTCATGTTTGGGTGTGATAATCTAAAATACCAGATTCCTAAGGAGTGACTTTTTTTCCCCTTTACAGGCATGTAATGAATTCACTACACATGTGATGAACCTTCTCCGAGAGCAGAGTAGAACACGTCCCATTTCCCCAAAAGAAATTGAAAGAATGGTGGGCATCATCCATCGAAAATTTAGTTCCATTCAGATGCAGCTCAAACAAAGCACTTGTGAAGCAGTTATGATTTTAAGATCAAGGTTCCTTGATGCCAGGTATGTGAGGCCACAAATCTGTTGCATGGCTTTCCCCCCCCCCCCTTTCACTCCTTGTATATTATTTTCTGTAAAACTGGCCAGTTGGTCTTAGATTCTTCTTTAATTTGGGTATAAGAGCTCTTCTCTACAATGGATAGCTAATATCACCTCATGGTGCCTGCACTGTCAAGGTTCCTCTTGTTTGGGGGTGGACCTATTAGCTACCAGTTTGGTGACTCAGGAAACAGGATTTAGTGCTGCTACTAATGACTTAGGAAGATGGAGCCTATAATTCTGATGCTACAAAGTATTTTTAAGGATAATTTTCAGTATGTGTAACTCTGTACTTTAACAAAGGCTTGTGGTCTAAGAATTTCTTGATGTTACATCACCTGTGCACATTATAAGAAAATATTTGGAAATACTAGTGTCCCCAAGAAGGAAGTGGTGTTGTAGTTCATAGCAATTACCACAAAACTCCACCTATCCTTGCTCCAAATCAAGGAAGAAAGCCTGTCAGTTTCTCCTGTAGGGATAACAATTCCCCTTTTATCTGAAACGTTCACCGAGTTTTGCAGGAGTTAATCAATTGTATATGGTGTGTTGGACCTACTGGGTGACGTAACTGAATTGTCACGTTCCTGCTACATGCTGCCTCAGCAGGGATGCCTCTTGGGCATTGCTAAAGCTTGTGATCAGCCTTCAGCTTTGGAAAGGAGTTTCTGATTTGTTTTGCTTTCTCTCCCTTGCAATCTGACAGAGGTGGTAATTATCATCCACATTTTGCAACATTGAAGAAAATAAGTTAGCTTCTCAACTGGAAAACAGGTTGTGGAAGGGTGTTCACGCCAGAGCTCTGCCTTAGGGCCCAACAAAGAAACACATGCCACCAACTATACTACTGTTCTAGTTAAGGAAAGCCCCAGATCATTTCCACTTCCTTCTTCTTCCATACTGAATTAGTCACCAGTTTTCAGCCCTTCTCACATTAGCTCACTCTTCCTGCCCACACACCGCTCAGTCCTTGCCTACCGTTTTGTACCTGGACCAGCGCAGGCCTCTCCTGTGCCTCCCTGTCTCCAGCCTCAATCCCTTTCTCACCCCTCTTCCACACCCCGTTTCTGTTTCTGCAGCATCTCTGTGATGCCTTAAAAATCACAAGTAGCTTTTCCATGCTGGATAACTCACACGCTACTTAACCTAGCACTTAAGGCCTAATGTGACCTGTTCTCACCTGCTTACTTTTTTGTTAAGATTTTTTAAAGTTTTGTGTTTTTTCCCTATTTGACAAATCCCAAGCTCAGTATGGAAAATTGGAAAACCTATAGAATAGAAAGCTGAAAGATAAAAGACAACCGCATTTTTGCTACCTAAAGAAAAAAATTCACTGTAAATGCTTTAATATGTTTCCTTCTGGTTTGGGGGCTTTTAAAAAATGTTTTTGTGATAGTACAATATGCATAATTTGGTTTGCTTTTTAAAAAATTTACCCTGACTAAATAAAACGCTTGTATAAAGTATAAGCTATATCTGAGCTTTCAGCAAATTGTAATCTTTTTGCTGGTGGAGGGTCTTGCCTCAATGTTGATGGCTCCTGACTGGTCAGAGTGATGGTTGCTGAAGGCTGGGGTGGCTGTGGCAATTTCTTAAGACAACAATGAAGTTTGCTGCACGATTGACTCTTCACAGACAATTTCTCTGTAGCATGTGATACTGTTTGATAGCATTTTACTCACAGTACAGCTGCTTTTAAAATTGGAGTCAGTCTTCTCAAACCCTGCTGATTGATCAATTAAGTTTATATAAAATTCTAAATTCTTGGGTGCCTGGGTGGCTCAGTTGGTTGAGCATCGACCTTGATTTCAGCTCGGGTCATGATCCCTGGTCATGGAATCAAGCTGTGCATCAGATTCTCTGCTGAGCACGGAGCCTGCTTAAGATTCTCTCTCCCTCTGCCCCTACCCCTATTCACTCTCGCTCTCCTCTGAATTAGAAAATAAAAATAAAATAGTCTAAATCCTTTGTTGTCATTTCAACCATCTTCACAGCCTCTTCACCAAGAGTAGATTCCATCTCAAGAAATCACTTTCTATGCTCATCCATAAGAAGCAACTCCTCATCCATTCAAGTTTTCTCATGAGTTGGCAGCAACTCAGCCCCATCTCTAGGCTCCACATTTAATTCTAGTTCTCTTACTGTTTCCACCACATCTGCAGTGATTTCCTCCACTAAAAAATCATGAGAGCTGGAATCAACTTCCCTTAAATTCCTGTTAATGTTGATGTTTTGATCTCTTCCCATGCATCACAAATGTTCATAATGGCCTCAGAATGGTGAATCCTTTCCAGAGAGTTTTCAAGTTACTTTGTCCAGATACATCAGAGGAATCACCATCTATGGCCACTGTATCTTTACAAAGTGTATTTCTTTTTTTTTTTTTTTTGACATTTATTTATTTTTGAGAGACAGAGAGCATGAGCAGGGGAGGGGCAGAGAGAGAGGGAGACACAGAATCAGAAGCAGGCTCCAGACTCTGAGCTGTCAGCACAGAGCCCAGTGCAGGGCTCGAACCCATGAACCGTGAGATCGTGACCTGAGCTGAAGTCAGAAACAACCTACGGAGCCACCCAGGCACTCCTACAAAATGTATTTCTTAAACAATAAGACTTGAAAGTCAGAATTGCTCCTTGATCCATGGGCTGCAAAATGGATATTATGTTAGTTGGCGTGAAAACATAATCTCATTGTCCATGTCCATTAGAGCTCTTGGGTAACCGGGTGCATTGTCAATGAGCAGTAATATTTTGAAAGCAATCTTTTTTTCCCGAGCAGTAGGTCTTAACAGTGGGCTTAAGATAGTCAATAAACCATGTTGTAAACAGGGGTGCTGTCAGCCAGGTTTTGTTGTTCCACTGATAGAGCCCAGGCAGAGTAGATTTAGCATAATGCTTAGGGGCCCTGCAATTTTCGGAATGGTCAACGAGCACTGACCTCAACTTAAAGTCACCAGCTGCATTAGCCCTAACAAGAGAGCCACAGCCTGTCCTTTAAAGCTTTGAAGCCAGGATTGACTTCTCCTCTCTAGCTATGAAAGTCCTAGATGGCATCTTCTTCTAATAGAAGGCTCTTTGGCCTACATTGAAAATCTGGTGTTTAGTGGAGTCCCCTTCATTAACTATCTTAGCCAGTTCTTCCAGTTAACCTGCTGCAGCTTCTATATCA